GAGACTTGCCATTAACTCGGATGAGGGCTATATTGATATAAAAATTGAACTAGGATCCAAATTGACACACATGAAATAGTATAGGGGTAGTGTTGGTAGTTAACTATGTAAAAGATACGGGGCACAATTAAGAAATATAGAAAAGTTTTGGGACACATTCACGCCAGTTAGGGCTTCGATTTCCAGCAATCGCTCTAGAGCCGCAGCGAAGTCTAAGGCAGTGTAGAAGAAGAAGAAGAAGCAATCGAAAGAATAAGAATGAAGTCTTTTAGGGCTTTGGTACCCAGGTACCTCTCTCTCTCGCTTATCTGTTTTGAAATAATGTTTTAGACTGTTTCGGATAACAAACCCAAGCATAGATTGCAGGTGGCGTTGAAGTCTGGTTGTGTGAGAAAATATGCTACTGATGCTAATTATGTGAGCAAGGACACACTTGGAGCAGCAGCTGGTTTGTAAATCCTTATATCTCTGATTTGATGATTAGAAGTATTCTTGCATTCTTTTGTTCGTCATTAGTTCATTCATAGGATTTCTCTAAATCTTCAATGAAAATGTTGCCAAATTTTCGTATGGCAATAACATGGGTAGTACGAGGGATACTGAGCCTCAGCCAATTGTCATTGGAGACTAATTTGCTATAATTCTCACCTAATCTTTGGTATTATTTATTTGCACATGTATAAATTGGTTATTGTGTGGCGGGTTTTCGAATGGCTTTTTCATTGCTTCTGTGTTGCTGAGTGTTATAATTGAAGTCTTTCTCACTTTAGGTTGGTCTGACCAAGTTTTACTAATTTCTAGGAGATTGGTGTTCTATCAGGAGAAAATGGTTCATTAAGAGTCTGGAAAACCATGCCTAAAGAGACTGCCTATGGGGGCTAAGGATTTTTAGAACATCTTGTAATGTAGATTTATCCTCAAAACAGTTTATACAACCTGCTAGTGTACCCAAACCATTGGAGTTTGTGGAAGCTTTGCCACCTTTAAGGATTTTTAGAATAAACTTCTGGGAGCTCATGAGAAAAAAGAAGGGTATGAGTTGGCCGTGTGAATAATCCAATTGCCCAATTTTTTGAGAAGTTGAGACTGGTACTTGTTGGTTGTTGTGTCTTGTGTGCCACTTATCTATTGAATGCACTTTTTATTTTGTGGGCGAATTTTTATACTCTGTCTTATGAACGGCAATGGTGTTTGGCAGGACTTCCTGTTATATTCAGAGGAGGAAGAGGGACAAGACAGATAGTCAGTTTTCGGTCACCGTTTCAACTTGCTGAGATCAATGGAGCAAACTCCACAAGTTTTTCTTTTGCCAGATCTTTTGCATCAAGAACTTCAAAGTCCGCTGGACAAAAGACGTCGGAGGTCTGGGTTTGAACCGGAGTTTCTGAACTTATGCATTTATACATTTATTTGGTGGCAAGTTGTACTTCTCTATGCACTCTTTTTGTTTGAGGTGCTGCCAAAAATTCATTAGCTTGGCGGGTAAAAAATGAGGTGGAAATTGGTCTACAATTTTGCAATACGGGGTTACAGTTGCTTCATCACTTCTCACAAATCAACGAAAATCCAAATCATTGTCTTTGTTTTCTTTACCTTGTCTTGATCAATAGTTAGAATCACGTGTTATAGACATCCAAAACCATCAACTTCCCCTTCCTCCACCTCCACATGAGTAAGCCAACAATTCTTAGTAAATTCAACTTTTAAATTACCTACTTAGTTACTTTTTAAGATATCATGATGTTGGCATGCCAATTATGAAAAACAAGCAACCGAAAAAGCTGCTATGTTTAGAGCCTACAGCATCGTGACTCTCCTTTGACTCATTTTTGAATAGGAGACCACTGGAAGATCTTTATTGTTGGTTTGTTGCAAGGGAGGAAGAATTAAAATGTTGGGAGAGTGATAGATAGGAAAAACATGCATGTGGATAGGAAGCTATCACAACCAAACCCCACCCCCCACACCCACCTTTATGTTGAGCAGGAAGGAGGAAGGAAATGGTGGGTATGATATTACGGTCACATGCCTATATATCAACTTGAAATGTTGTTTGAACTTTGAAGTGAAAAGTAGCATAGTAATGTTTAGGATCATTCATCTGTATTTTTGCATGGATAGTTTCTACTCTGCAAAGCAAAGTTTGGCTAATGCTCTATTTTTATCCGGTAATTTATTTTTGAACCTGTCATGGTAACTTCAGGTTTTATAGTTCTATTAAGTGCCTCTTTTTCCATTTCTCCTTTCCTTACCAGACTAGAAAAGACATATCTACTGTTGAGGACCCCTTTGATGCTCCAACATACAACATCCCAGAGAAACCAGTGACATTTACAGAAGGAGCTTCCTACAGTGTTATCATTCTTGCAGGGCTTGGAATTGCTGCTGCCGCAGGATATGCTGTTTTCAAGGAACTTATATTTGAACCAAAAGAGTAAGAGTTAGAATTTTACACTAATGGCTTCCTTTTTTTTTTTTTGTGTAGAATGAAATGTGGGTTGAAGACTTTCATTTCTTTTCGGTTGAGTACTCAGAACTGCGATGCTTTACAGGTACAAGATTTTCGGAAAGGCTCTGAACAGGATTCAAGACGATGGTCAGGTTTGTCCATACTTGGTGGAATTTGGATGAGGATGGCATTATGCTGTTTGTTTAAACTATGTATGGAGTATAATCCTTGCAGGAGGAGCCAAAATTGATAAAATATCCCGATTAGGTTATATATTTGAGGCTGGAGTGGTGAGTGAAGGCCCCCTTCTATTGATATTTTCATCTCATTAAATTGGAGATATTTATACTTCGACAACTAAGTATCAAAAAAGATACCAATACACTTATTGTTCATGGATGCCATAATTCTATTATCTGCATGAAATTTGGAATTTTCGATGGTGTCAAAAGTGCCAATGTGAACTGCAAAAGTAGCTAGTAGTGGCAGTAGAATCATGAGAAACTACATGTTGAGTCAGCAGGTTCAGCAAAATCCAGCCTGTAATAATGAAGTTGTCAAAGTGAAATTAATTTCTATAGAGATTTTGAAGACTGTAATCTGCACTAGCTAACGGTTTAGAAAGCAAAATTTTATTCCTTGAAAGTTGACGAGCTGGAAGGGGTTGTTGCTTAGTTCCATATTGAGAGCTTGAGCAGTCAGGCTTGAGAATGTGAATCGAGTCTATTGGCGGTCAGTTTTTGCAAAAAGGGCAAAGCTCTATATAACTTGTCTTCTTTTTCCACCCTCGTTGGCAAGACCAACATATGGACACGATTTTTTGGCTGCCCAAAAGGGATTAGAGTCAATTCTTTGATCAACATTATGTGTGTCCTTCGGTTTTAATTCTGGATTTTGTAGCTCTTGCTCGTCTGTTTTGTAAAAATTAGGGTAGCTCTATTGCCGACATCTGTAAAAGCAATGTACATATGTGGAAGTACATTTTCCACAGCGGTGTTTGTTTTTGGCAGTAGCAATTCCCAATATTTACTGTTAACTAGATAAAGATAAGTGATAAATGGATAAAAATTTCCACAATGGTAGCATCTACATAAGATGTACTACATGTCATGCCTTAAGCGATGAGCCAGCTGGTGATCCTGAAGGTATTAATTCTGAGTCTTGTCTCAACGATTGCATAGAATTGTAAGATGCACACATCTCTTAGAGCAACTGTGTTTTGAATTTTGTGGAATCTATGTACATATTCTTATACTTTGCATATTTTGGCTTTTTGTGCATGGACATTGAATAAGCCATGATATATACATATGATTTTGATTTTATTTTTTTATCATTTTTTTTGTCTTTTGGATTCTCTTTGGCCAGGTTAGGGTTAGAATTGGATCCCCTGTTAAGGGTTATGGCCAGGAAAGTCGGAATCGTGCTGCTCGGCAACGGATTCCTAATAGGATGTGGACTGATGAAGATGGCGTTGAGCATGTTGAGGTTGCTTTATATGAAATTTCTATATATTTATCATGTAAACGTCTTTAGTTGGTTCTGGTTTCTCATTATTTTGAATTGGTCCTTCTGTGGCAAATGTGTAGAAATGTCTAGATGCTAGTTGAAAACACAAAATTAATGTTGGATTTTCATATGCCAAATATCTTCTAGAGAGCTTTGACACCTTATCAATGGTGCGTAGGTTAATTTTTATATCCGTGGACCACATGGTGCTGGCAAAGTATACACGGAGATGTTCAAAGACAAGGAGGATAAGCATTGGAAATTCACATATTTGATTGTTGAGATCAAATCACCTTCTCCAGCACAATTGATGCTTGAGTCTTATGTTCCGGCCTGAACTCTTACTTCTGAATCGTTCAAATCTGAGATCAGGCCATCCTGTATGTGAATGCCATGACTCGGTGCAACCAGTAGTCCTTCAAATTTTCCTTTGGTCCAGGCATCATTGAGTATGATTTGTTGAAACAAGTTCTGATTGTGGAAGGTAGAGGAATTTTAATAAGCACTGTACAGTTTGCTGGGGAAGCTATATCTTTTGGTTTATTCTAATTAGCTTGAAGGTGGTTCATGTCCTTTTGTTCTGCTTATGGATGAACTGGTTTTCCCATATTTTACTTCTCTCCTCCCTTTTTCTTCTTACTTTTTGAATGCTCCTCCTTTGCTAAGTAGCCCGTTGGAACTATCAAGTTGTGAGATGACTTTGACATGGAAGATAAGTGTTAGATTTATACTACATGAATGGATTTTGTGTTGGTATATTCATCTATTTCTTGTATTAATGTCAATTTTACAATAAATCGATACGAAGTTCTCCACATCAAGTTATTAGGTATGGGTGTAGCTATTGTGTTTGGATCGAAGGAATGAGATTCTTTTTAATATATTTTCTCATTAATTTTTTCCTCGACGGATCAATTATAATGTATTTAAGGGAGATTTATTGCATACAAGTGAATTCTTCACTTATTAATATTACGTGATTCATTAAGAAAGAAACTCAAGGAAAAAAATGTTGTATTATATTTGGATCTTGGATGGAAAGTGGATTATCCGACTCACCCGGATATAGGTTTAAACGTGTTAAGGGCAACTAGGCCGGTCGATAGATCAATTCGATTGGAATTTGAATTTAATTAGTTGTATATGAATTAATATCTTTTATCCATAATCTGAAATTCGAATTTGAATATGAATCTTATATTTTATAAATTTGAATTTGAATATATATATATTCGATCCTATTATGATCTGATCTAAATTGTTTATATAAATATTAAATAAATTTAGGTAAAATTTGTTAAAATTAAATTAATTAAGTTATTTAAATTAGATTTTCAGATTGTTATTGGATTTGGATATAAAGTATAAAAAATCCGTTGGATTACCGAATTCGAATTGAACTTTTGAAAATGGGATTCGAATTTGAATCAAACTTTTGAAATCAGATTTGAATTTGGATCGGTCAGAGTCCGATCTAAATTCGGTTTGTTGACAGGCAGAGGGGCAACCGGTTTTTTTCTGCCTATTTTGGGTCGTGAATCAGCCCAAAAAAGTATTTTATGGTCCAGATTTTGATGGGTAATTTCGGCGACCTGAATTGTTCGGAGCCCACGACATGAGAGAAGCCCTACATGATGCTTCAGACACGAAAGTGAAACACATAAGCAACACACAGAGAGCTATAGAGTGAGACTCCAAACACAGCAATGGCGGACGAAAGCAGCATTCTGAGTAGAAAGAGAAACATCACATCAGCTCTTTGTAAACGTCTCTCTCTAGATCCAGTAAGCTCCAGAGTAGACCTTGTATACTCGCTCGTATTTGACTGAATTAATCTCTCTCTCTCTCTCTCTATATATATATATATGTGTGTGTGTGTGTGCGTGTGTGCGCGCTGAAGAACTGATTATTGGAAATAGTAACGTTTTATAGCTTGCATTTCGATGGATTGAAGCGGCACCCTATCTCTGTACGAATATGCTTTTTATGAGTTGAATGTACATTCTGCACCTGGATACTTCTATTCAATTGAATTTGGCGCGATTCTTCCACCGTGTTAATGTGCTAATCAATTTTTTTTTTTTCGATTTTTTGAGAAGTTTTATCAACGCCAATTATACTTGATATCTAATAATAGCAAGTGGGAGATCACTATTTTCTGATTGGATTTTTATAGAACGAATTACAGCTAGAATTTTTGGTACCTGACCAGTGTTTTATAACTATTGATCATGCTGAAGTTTGTTTTTGTCTGGAGGTTCGATTCTCTTTAAGTTTTTGACTCCAGCCTGCCTTCATTTTGCAAGGATATGAGTTTTGTTGATTTATGCTTCTCCTTTACAATTTACGCATAAGTCATAACCATTACACTTTAAACTTGTCGCAGAGGGAATTTATTGTAAAATTTCTAACACATCTGTGTGGGTGTGTTTCTGTTGTACCAGTTTCATTTCTAAGTTTTATGATATCGATTTATGCAGAAATTTTTCTTGGACGATGTGGATAGTGATATTAAGAGCCTGTGCGCAAAAATTTTGAAGTCCTCACAGAACGAGGCTGTTTTTGATATCAATGATGAGGCAAGTCTTTAGCTGATTCTGAAATTGGAATGTCTAAAGGTTTCATGTTTCCAAGCTAGCCTAGCATCCATGAATAACCAAAAAAGCCAAGAATAGACCATTGCTTTTGCCTTAATTGTATGATGGATCATTTAGTTTCAAATTAAGTTTGAAATCTGAAAACTTGGTGGCAGTTGATGAAGTGGATAGCATTTGCAGAGAATTTTCCTGTAGATTCTGAGGCATGCTTTAGGTCTGTCAATGAATTAAATGAAGGCTTGGGTCAGAATTCTGTTCTTTTTGGAGGTGGATTGAAACCTTCTGAGGCTGATATTGTTGTCTTTTCAGCAGTACATTCATTTGTGGTATTCATTCTACGTCTTTTTCTTACACAGTTTGCTTTACTCTACTTAACAATGTTAGGTTGCTGAATATTTTATTACACAAATTTTGGGCAGAACAACACTCCAGCACTACAAAACCCTATGTTTCTTACTGTTTGTTTAGCTTCAATTGCAATATATTCGGTTTTTAATTATTGTTTGGGTTTCCTGTTCATGGCAGTTTGGTCTGTCAGATTCAGAGAGGTTAAAATTGACACATTTGCTGAGATGGATGGATTACATCCAGGTAGGGGAATGCTGTGCTCTGTTTTCGTATGCTGAAATTATTAGTTTTATGTTAACAAAAAGATCTATATAGTTCTCAATCTTTAGCATATTAGAAAGGCACCCACAGTTCTTTACAACAAAAATCAGGTATCCATGTAAGCAATGAGCATATGACTTTCCGTAACCTGTATCCTGACTGGTGTTCAGTGTTATTTTGGATTTTTTGTGGAGTGAAACCTCTTCGAAAGATTGGATTTATTGTTGAAAATGATATGCATAAAACTAATAACAGTAACCCTCTTCTGATCAGCCTGGATTTGTTCCTCAATGTGGTGAACATTGGATCACCTTTATTCTGAGCTTACCATCTTGAACATTGGTTGATATGTCTGATAAGAAATGCTTAGGTGGATGCCACTTTATTGCACTGGCCTTTGTAGGCTATGTTTAGGCCCTTGGAGATTGAAGCAGGTTCTGTGACTGTGAGGGAGGTTTTTAGAATAGTCCACTCTCGTTCTTAGACCTTCAAAGTAGTCGAGGTTCAAATTATTGTTTCTGCTCTACATCTTCTCTTGAGTATTAATAAATTTGCACTGTTGATCTTTTTATGCCCTATTTGTGCAGAATAAGGAGGATCTTGGGGGACTGTTTGAAAACATTAAGCTAGAGAAGGCCGTATTTGAGCCTCCAGTGAGTTTTCCTTCCATTTTTAGTTTAGAAGTATGTGAAACTTTATACATGGTGACAGAGTTTCTTAGTTTTCTTCAATTATTGCTTTTGTCATTATCATTTTTGATTTCCTCTTTCCTGGAGTTGTTCCCCTGCAGTAGTCTTTTCTTCACGGTTCACATCTAGAACATGCTAGAGGATGGGCTTTTGACAGTTTGCTCTACATATTTCTTTTTTCAGCAATCAAAAGTGGATTCTAACGCCAAAAAGACCGTGCAAGGCGCGAAAGATGTGGTATGCTTTTATCACTTTTACATGTAATCTTCTTTTGTGCTCGCTTGGAATTCCCAACCATCTTGTCCGACCAACACAAGTGCAGCTGCACTATCATTGATTGTTCGTTTTGGTTTGGCATATGAAACTTAAAAATTCCAGATACCTATTGTTGGTTCCTTTGAGGTGTAGAACATATTTAGCATTAGTAGTTCATTGGTCTGCGTAATTATTTATTTTTGACTTGTCAAGGCTAAGAATGGCCGGCCTCAAATATTTTGGACACAGTTCATATAGCAAATTTTCCTTAAGGAACCATATAGAACACCACCAACCTATTTAGATAGGAATGCTTGAAGGCTGTACAAGGCGATTTGTTTGTATCAAAAGTTCTTCAGAAGAAGTGGACCCTGCAAATCCATCTTATGTAGCAAAAGGGTTGTGTTCTTTTATTCATTGGAAATAGTTTGATGTTTCTTCATGTTTAAAATTTTCTAACAACAATGTTTGTATGCTCTTGGATTTCACCCCCTTTTGGCATCTTTTAATTAAGCATTCGTCTACATAACAAAAAAGGAAGACAAATTAAGTTACATCACGATTTGTAAGTCTTGCACTTGGCTGTACAATTCTCTCTGCAGATAGACTAGAACTTCAGCTAAGATTAGTTATGTGATCAACTCGATGGTGGAATTTCATAATTTTAGTCACCCCTTCTGCACTCTTACTGTTCTTATCTAGCAAGAAAAAGTATTCCCAGTCAATGCTTTGAGCTTTGATTGTGATTTAGTTCCCCCAAAATTGACACTGCTGTATTTTTCCTCTACAACTTGAAGAAAAAGGTTACAGGAGATAATGAGGTTGTTGTAGAGAAGAAGAAAGTGTCTGGAAAAGAAGCAGATGAAAAAGATAAGGAAATTAGTGTTAGCTCGCTTAAATTGCAGGTTGGCCTAGTACGTAAAGCATGGAAACACCCATCAGCTGACAGGTATCATGACTGATCTCTTTCCTTTTCCTTCTTTTTTATTATTTTTGAGTTTTGTTATTCTCCCCTTTTTTCTGTTTCTTTTTTTTTTTTTTTTTTTCGGTTGACAATCTTGTAGCTACCTTATGTTATTGGTAGGTCTCCAGCTGTCTGAATCAACAGTAGGATGTAACAATTAGTGGATATTATACCTTGAATGTTTACTAATTCAACTCTCCTTCAATCTATGATGCAGTTTACTGGTTGAGGAGATAGATATTGGAGACATTAAATGTCGGCAAGTGGTCAGTGGACTGGCAAAATATCTGAGTCCTGAAGAGATGATGGTACGAATTTTGTTCCCGAATTTATGGAATTAGTGAGGCATATTTTGTTCTTATTCATGTGAACAATTTTTGTGTTTTCATACCATGATGATGATATTAATGTAATTATTCCATGTACAAAAAAATAATAATCTGAATTCTCTTTTAAATGGCTTTTTCTGCTGTCTGTATGTATGTAACTTGCAGAACCGACGTGTGGTACTAATCACAAATGTAAAACCTGGAAAGCTGCGAGATGTTATGTCAGAAGGATTGGTATACTTCTTTTTCCCCTTCTTTGTGTTTTCATATTGTTTTCTTTATATTTACCTTTGTTGATTTTGCCGAGTAATGATTTTCATGTTTGATCCTATGAAGTATTTGTCTTAATTCCTGATTCATCTATCACGCATTTAGTATGAGACAATGTCGCATTATGCATTTTCCTTGAATTTTAATTTNTGGAGGCCTTAAACGCATAGTCTAGCTCTGGAAGTTCCTATAATAGTTGCATATTGAAGGTCCTGAAGTTGATTCACCCATAACATGAATCACGAAAACTACTTGGTTTGTTTTTCGATATGTTACATTCTATTGGTTTATAAGTGGTTACAAATCAAAAATTGTAGTTTTATCAATCGAATATCCATACTTCATTTAGCTTTTGTACTTTAAGTCTATGGGCACTTCGTTGATATGCACAGGCGTGCGTTCTTATTATTTTAATTGTTTTCAGGTATTATGTGCTTCTAATGAAGATCATACTATTGTAGTGCCTCTGACCCCTCCAGAAGGGGCAACAATTGGGGAGCATGTTTCATTTTCTGGGTATGTTTTCAGAAATTAAATCTACCAGCAGTCACTTTTCTGACTCATAGAAGTTACACTTATATGGGGCCTAATAGCTAGCTCACTTCCAGCATTGTGTCAAACCATATTTGGGTATCTCTGTATATGCCAAGTCCTGTTATTGCTATCACTTTAGTTTTCCAATTGGGTCGACCTTTATTGTTTTCTATTTTACTTTGTTGTTGGTGGTACTGAGCTTTTTAACAATTTCTAAGGGAAATAGCCGGTAAGTGTAATGTGAAATTTCTCTTGGGAACCGTACACTGCTGCTGTTCTGTTGGTAGACTACGTTACCTTATGGCTAGAGCTAGCTGGCATTGAACCTGTTCAACTATGACTGTTAAGGTTTAGGATTACTCCTGTTTTCCCCAGTTATTATGACACATGGCATCACACTTCTACAAAGCCATTGAAAGCAGATCCTTTAATTTGATTGCTTCTCAGTGAAGTTTTTAATGCACGGCTGCATAAAAAAAGTGTGCTGCTGTGTAAGAATGACCTCGCTGAAATTGTGGAGGGATAAATGAGTGATGGTTGGTCCACTGCACATGAACCTCTTTCGTGTTAAGACTAATACTTAACACTTGATTGATTCAAAAGGGGGACAAATGTTTATTGAGGCTGCAGATAACTACTTTTATGGATAATGATGTGATTTCCTCCGCAGAGTGGGTTGTTGACTTACTATTTCTGAATGTTCCCATTTAGGCACGAGGGAAAACCAGAAGATGTTTTAAATCCAAAGAAGAAACAGTTTGACAAGATAGCTCCGGTACGTTTTCCTTGTTCTGAAAAAGGACTTTGATATTGTAACTGCAGAATTCTCTGATATAGTTTAAAGTTGTACTGTGTCTAGGTAAAACATCTTAGTAATTGGCTTTCCTCTTCTTTAGTTGGTTGAAAATGTATGAGTTGCAGGTTGGCCAACTAATGGATGATTCCCTTGATGATCGAGCTTTAGATCCTATTACTATCACAATCTTGTTTCAACTGATTGAATATGTGGCCGAAGGATTTTCATCTTGAATCTGGGCTGGATAAGAACTAATTATGTATGCATTGCTGTATGAATGCATAAACTGTGACAGGGAGGTCGGGCAGTATCATTCATTGCCACCGTTCACTATATTTTATCGTTGCCAAGTGATTCAAATATTGCCTTTGTATAAACACGGTTATCCATTCGTGCAGCATCTTTTCACAAATGATGAAGGTGTGGCCACGTTCAAAGGGATCCCATTCATGACATCTGCTGGGCCATGCACATCTTCCATTCCCAAGGCAAGCATCAAGTGATGATGATCATGGTGCATGAAATTCATATCATTGTTACTCTTGCTTTGGGCTAAACTTTCTCCGGCCATTGATGCTGAACGTTTTCTGCTGGGAGTGGACACACACGGGTTCATTTCTCAATTGCAAGCTCTTTAAGAAATGGGAATGTTGTACAAATTCAATCATGTTTGATCAATTAAAATTCTCTTTTCGGAAGGTGAATTAAAGATGTTTTTACACTGTCCACTCTCATACGAGGTTTTAAGACTGATGATATGGCCGAGTATTATAGTTGTTGTATTGAATGAAATTGTTACTTTCTATGGGCTCTAGCCATCATAATCGATGTCGAACTTAATTATGTTGATTGTTGGTTTTCATATCATGCTAATGTAACGAGACATGTACAAGCTGATGGTCATGCTCATATTTTTTGGTATCTCCATTTCATCCTCACAAAGGTTTTACTCAAATGGTAACAAAGACGGGTCGTAAAATCAGACGTTATAAATTTAAATTATAATAAATTTTTTGGACCAAGTCATGGGAGAGATTTATCTTAGGAATACTCTAGTTCAGGGCTTGCATTTGACAAGATCGAGAATGAGATTAGTGATGGTGTGCATAAGTTAGTCCGGATATTCTGTCACGATTTTATTAGATAAAAAGTAGACACACGATATCTAAAATTTAATTGTGAATCTATAATCAAAAAGTATTCTTTAGTATTAGGGCTGTTAATTTTTGACACTACACGTTAATATGACACGAATCAAACACAAAATTAAATGTGTTAATCGGTTAAAATGGGTCAACACGTTTAAACACGAAAAAAATTATGTCGGGTTCATGTCAAAATCAAGTCAATCTGATTTTGACCTGATTAATTCGTATATTGTAAACGGGTTGACATGATTCAGACACGAATTCGACTTAACTCATTGTAGACCTATTTATGACAATATAGTTTGTCTATTATATATGACTGATGTGGTTTTAACATTATTACTTATTAGTTCTTACTTTTATTGTAATAATTGACAATATAGTTCTTAATGTTATTATCACAATATGCTAGTATAGTTCTTGCTTTAATTTTTGGGTTGAAACTTAAATACATTTTAGTTAATTTCATTGAGGAGATGTGATATATTATTTATAAAAAAAATTATTTAAATTTTTGAATGAATTATTGAATGGTATTGAACTGGTGTAAAAATAAATTATGTGTATTAAACAGATCTGTGTTATGTGTATTAAATAAATTAAATAGATCATGTTATGTGTGTTAATTCGAAAACGACATGTTTATGATACGCATCAAATCGGTCAAATTTGAATAACTCATTTAATGGTCAAATCAAATTATTGTTTATACAGTTCGGCACANTCGACTTAACTCATTGTAGACCTATTTATGACAATATAGTTTGTCTATTATATATGACTGATGTGGTTTTAACATTATTACTTATTAGTTCTTACTTTTATTGTAATAATTGACAATATAGTTCTTAATGTTATTATCACAATATGCTAGTATAGTTCTTGCTTTAATTTTTGGGTTGAAACTTAAATACATTTTAGTTAATTTCATTGAGGAGATGTGATATATTATTTATAAAAAAATTATTTAAATTTTTGAATGAATTATTGAATAGTATTGAACTGGTGTAAAAATAAATTATGTGTATTAAACAGATCTGTGTTATGTGTATTAAATAAATTAAATAAATCATGTTATGTGTGTTAATTCGAAAACGACATGTTTATGATACGCATCAAATCGGTCAAATTCGAATAACTCATTTAATGGTCAAATCAAATTATTGTTTATACAGTTCGACATAATTACTAAATATATCAAATTTAAATTTAAAAATTTTGACATAAATTCAAAATTAACTCGTAAATGTCAAAGAATATCTTTCTGCGTATCTCAACTGCGCGCGCCTACAGATATTGAAGTCTCATCGGATCCTCCTCGTAGAAACACGATCTGGTCAAAGGTTGAAACTTTTAACACCTTCACATGTTTGTGTGTGTTTGACTTGATTACGGTATCCATAAAAAAAATTCGATACTGTTCTTCCGTATTTCTAAATTTATTATTTTAATAGGTATTTTTACACAATAAATCTCTCATTCATCAATAATAGTTTCTTTATTTATTAATGATAAATGATGTATTAATAAAAAAAAATAAAATAAAAAATGTATTGAAAAGAATTTAGATCCGAGTTACTATACAAATAACTTGGTGGAAATGTGACAGATTTGGCGGAATGAAAAATGTACATTGTCCAAATTAAATATACATGGGGATAGGAAGGTTTGTGCAGCAAGAAATTAAATTTTTTTCAAATTTAAAGAAAAAATGCCAAATACCTCTTGAATGGACCACTAATCATTTCCGAACCTTTTTTTAAATACGTTGTACAATAAAAATAATTCAAAGTTAATGCTTGTAATAAAGTTCTTAAGCATCTGTGAAGGTACTAGAAACTTGACCACACTTGAGGGCTGTTTTTTTTTAAAAAAAATTGTGTAAAAAAAAACTCCACGAGTTATATCTATCCAACATTTTTTATGGTAAATTATACTTGTACCCTAAAAATTTTAAATTTTTTATTTTGTGTTCTCAAAAATTAATTTTCTACATTATACTGAGGGTATAATATGGAAAATTAATCTTTGAAGATATAAAGTGAAAATTTTAAAATTTTTTAGGGTATAAAGTGCAAAAAAATCCTATTTTTTTTTTTAAAAAAAAAAGAAGAACCCTTATTTTTTGCTATTTCGAATTTGAATTGAAGTTAAAAACAAAAATGTAATTAAATTGGATTGATGCATTTAGTAGCCGAGACCACCTAGAACACAATAAATTTCCAATATTAAATGCTTCTGAGTTGTGTTAGACCTGTTGGGTATGTAGACTAGGCCCACTAGGGGTACATCTCTATATATAGACTAATAACTTTTCAATATTTATGGGCCCATCCCTTTGTTGGCGGGACATTTTTTTTTTTTTTTTTGCCCTTTTTTGACATAACATATGGAGAGGGATATGTTTTTCCGCAAATAGTGTTCCCCCTCTTATCATCTTAAAGAACACATGCTTCATGTTCATCCTCCTCTTATGATCTTAAAGAGCACATGCTCCATGTTCATCCTCCTCTTATGGTCTTTAAGAACACATGCTTCATATCCACCGCCATAGCCATAGCCATAGCGGTTGGTCTACTAGTTGAGAATTTATATTTTCTCGCTCACTAATTAAGTTCGAGTCTCTATGATTATAATAATTTGATAGAACTAAACTTACTTTCAACGCCCAAAATACACAATAAGATATTAAGTCATTGATATTATAATATTTGCAAAGAACCCGTCCCTCCTACATAATTTTATAAGGAAATTATTGCTAAAATTTTTGTCTATTTTTTGAATGAAATATCTAGATTATGCCATAACTTCACATTTTTTTGTAGCATCTGTCTCTTTAGGTAGCATTATGTGGGACAATGGGAAAAATATTCATTACCCATAAGAATAAAAGTAACAATAATAACAAAATAAAAGCTGATGAATTTATTTTTGAGCTTTGAAATGAAAAGAGAGTAAAAATAAAAGAAAAAGAAAAGGGAAAAAAAGGGAAAGAAAGAAAGAAGGGGGGAATGAGCTGGAGGGAGGATCTCATAGAGCAGTGGGCAGATATTGATACTGATTTGTCGATTCCGATGCTGATGTGGAGAGAGAAAATGTATAAGCAGAGAAGAAGATGTGATATGGGTGTAGGTGTGGGACTGCATCGAAACGAGAGAACCCAAAAGGATCACGAAATATCTGTGACACCACGTTTTGATTTTGTCTCTTCCAAGAAAATTCATTTACCTCAATTTTCAACACTTCCTCCGATAAATAGCACCAACCCCATTGACCAGTGTTTTGTTCTTCTTCAATTCTTTCATTCTGCCGTTGTTTTGTTCTTTCAAAGAGTTTGTTCTGGTTTTTGTGTAGATATAGAAGTGGGTTTTGGTGATTGGCTGGAGAGGAGGAGCACATGGATGCTACTTGTTTGTCGAAGGATATGGCGGATCATGGGGAAGTACCTCATGTTCTTGCTGTTGATGACAATCTCATTGATCGTAAACTTGTCGAAAAGTTGCTAAAGAACTCCTCTTGCAAAGGTAAATAACCTCTGTTTTTTGCCTTTAAGAAGTCCTATATTGCCTTTTTGTTTGACAGTCTACACACTTGTTCGTCATTTTGTCCCAGAGAATCAGGCAACCCACGTAGTTTTCTTCATTTATTTACGTGAATATTGTCAAAGCCTAAGTTAGTGTCTAGGCCAGCCTTCCCAAGGTCTTACATCTGTGGGATTAATTGCTTTCTAGGTAGCTAACTTGTGATTTCTTGCAGTGACTACTGCAGAGAACGGCTTAAGAGCATTGGAGTATTTGGGTTTGGGAGATGATCAACAGAACATATCGAATGACAATGTAAGGGACTTCTTTTTGGGAAAGAGGATACAAATGATGTCTTCTTTGTTATTGTTTTTAGTTAGTGGCCATTAATTTGATGTCCACATGTATTCCATAAGCTTTTTCTGGTTTTCTTTTGACATTGAAGTTTTTGCCATTAGTTTGATGTTCATACCCACATGTGTTCCATCAGCTTTTTTCTGGATTTCTTGTAACATTGAAGTTTTTTGCCATGATCTCTGGTTTCTACAACAATGCATGAGGTATTCAAAAAACCCCAGAGAATGGTAAAGTGTTGTTATGAATGGGAAATAGAAAGGAACAAAGAGAGAGAGAGAGAGAGAGAGAGGTCTGTTGCTTTGATGCGATTTGCGGTTATTTTGGATGATGGGTGTGTCTTAGTTTCCATGCCTGAAGTTGTTTAGGGAGTCCAGGGATGTCAAGATTGCAAGTGTAAAAATGACCTTTACTTAGTCTTCTGTCTGATTCATGACAATAAAGATTGAATGTTCTTGAAAGTTGTTGTTTCTACAACGATTTGGTTGCTCTATTTTGTATCATTAATTTCATGTGTTTCACTTTCTCTTGTATGTGAGTTATCTCTATTTTATGTCTGTAAACAATGCATGGTTTACCTCTAGTACATGTCTAAAAGGATGTTGTCTGTTTCTATTATTTTGGCAGTGTTCCAAGATAAATTTGATAATCACAGATTATTGTATGCCGGGAATGACGGGTTATGAGCTACTTAAGAAAATTAAGGTACTCCAAAACTTAATAAACTAGTTTTTTTTTTTTTTAAGTTTTTGGCTTTCTTTTCTTAGTTCATTCCACCTTTATACTCACTACTGCAACCACTTGCTATGTCTCCTTTCAAGCAGGAGTCATCTATGATGAGGGAAGTTCCAGTTGTAATAATGTCATCAGAGAACATCCCAACTCGAATCAACAAGTAATATTACTGATAGCCACTATTTACTTTAATTTCTGATTCTTTAGTTTTTCTTTTTGACATTTCCAACAATCTTCATTGCTTGAACAGGTGTTTAGAAGGAGGAGCCCAAATGTTCATGTTGAAGCCCTTAAAGCAATCGGATGTGAAGAAATTGAGATGTCAGTTGATGAACGTTGGAAGCTGATTACAAGACTGAAGAAATTAGGAACACTTGGGTATATTTGCACATGGAGCTATCTGATAAACTTCATTAGAGAACTCTTGTACACAATTTCTTTTTTCTGGGTCCAAACCCAAATATTTTGTTTAGGTCAATACACTTCAGCTGGGAATTTTGTGTGTGTTAGTTAAAGCTTACTATTTACCTGCATAGAGATGCAAAAGATTAGTCTCCTGAATGGATAGTTTGTCTATCCAAAAGTTTGCCGTTGGCATTGAAAACTAGGGCTAGAATACAGCTGAGTTGATGATGAATTTTGAGTATCCTTTCCTCCCTTCTTTTTCTCAGCTTGTCCACACACAATTGCTTTTCTAGCAATTTCGATACCATTCTTGGCTCTGGCTACATTCAAGCATAGTATATGCTCGTGGTCTTAGTTCGAGTTATGCTACACAACTTAAATGTATTATCATCTCTACTTGCTCATCTAATAAATGATATGTATTTAAGTTATAATTTGTTGGTTGAGTTTCATTTAGATTGTATAGTATATTTCTTTTATCAATTTTGAGCTGCTATTTCCAAGGAAGACACTGTTGACACATACAGCTTCTGTCTTATACAGATTAAAGTCTGAATTAATAGGCTTATGGCTCAGCATCCTAACAATCACAGATTGGAAAAATAGCATTCTTCTCCTAAACTATGCTTAGAAAATGGAAATGAACACATCTACCACTACTTAAAAATTTCATATTTATAAACCACCTGCCTTTACACAAACTATAGTTCGTACTCTTAAATTCCCCTTAGTATGTGGTTTGCCTAAGTCAACCTAAACACCTGGGGCTCTGGTTTGGTATGTGGATTTGGATTGGATTGTCCAAACCCGAGTTTGACCCAAAGATGGAATTTAATATTTAATGTTGTTCATATCCATGTTTAGTATATACATGAATATATGATTATTATGATAATATATTTGTATATAAATAACTATTATACTTTTTAACCAATTTATATATATAAGATATATAAAAATATAAATGTCATTTACATATTAAACCTTCAAACCCACAAATGAAACTCACCCACCCCTTGGTTTCAGGAAATCCAATTATATGATTTTCATGACCGGCCGAGTTTGAAATCTTATTCATATTTTATGGCTGTCAAACATAGATTTAAGGGAGTTTACTCTCCAACCCATATTCTTGAACTCACGTACCAAACAACCCCTAATGACTAAAGCCCAACCACAATAAAAATGCATTTTTAAGAACTAGAAAACAGTGTATACTTTGGAATCTTGTAAGTTGTGGCAACAAACCGTTGTAAAGATTTCCTTTTTACCTCTCCTTTAGTGCTCTTTTTATTGTTCTCAACCATCAAAATTCAGCATAAATAAATCTATAATGGAAAACATAACATAATTTAAATCAGCATTCTTTTTAAAACTATTCATATTACACCATGAAAGCACGAGTTATCCCCAATTACCTATTAAAGCACACTAAACAGAAGATAAAGAGGTAATTAGATCTTATGCCTGTAAAATGGGGATGTAATTAGTAGAAATGGCTGTGGTGGTGATGGTGATGGTGATGTCTATGCTCATCCAATCCAAAGCACTGCAACAGAGGGTAACAAGCAACAAAAATGCACCTCCCAAGAGCTCCAAATATAGAGGAGACTAGCAAACAAGGGCAGCAACAACATGCCATTAATGGATCATCATAGGGGCCATGGCTTCCTTGGTGATGATGGTGGTGGTGGTGACCCATGTTCTTCTTTCTCCAAATTATGAAAAAATAGACAAAACCCAGAAATTACTTAGCAAAATCAACCCTACCCAGATGCTTATATTGAATAAAATAGAAGCATTATCTGTCTCTGTCTAAAAACCCCTTCAGCTTTACCTTAATCTTTGTTAATCGAAGCACTGTCTCCCTTCTTGGATAGTAAGATATTTGCAGGCAGCCGCTACAATCTATAAAATGAAAGAGATATATGCTTTGGAAGGCCAAAAGCTATACGAGGAAGCAACTTAGCGACGAAGATTAGGTTAAGTCAGGAAGTGATAGCTGTTGACTGGTTGGTATATCCAGCAGAGCTGATAGGTACAGCTCTAATCCAATAATGTTCTCGAAAATTATCATTTTTATTTTTATTTTTTAGGGTAAATTACACTTTGACTCTCTCAATTATGAACATTTTTTCAAATTATCCCTCATATCATGTTTTATACATTGCATCCTCAACTATATAATTAGTTTTATAATGTCATAATTATTGATGTCCAATACACATTTAATGAAAAATTATTTTATTTTTTTCTCCTAAACTATATAATATTTCTTACTTTGTCCCGACCCGTCAATAATTTTCATCCAAATGTGAAATAATTTGAGTAGTTAAAGAGTCAATATGAAAAATTTAATAGTTCAAGGTATAAAATGAATCGAGTCCATAGTTTAGGAGGTGTAAGTGTAATTTATCCTATTTTTTATTAAAAAAAAATGACGTGTAATTTTTTTTATTATGTTATTAACTTTTTAATCAGAGATTATAAATTATTTAAACTAAAATTAATGACTATAAATAAATTTTGATACGAAAACGAGATTGGTATGGTGGCTGAACAGATGTGGAAATGTGAATATGAACAAAGCAGCACTTTTGGGTTGTGGGCAAAGTTTGAATTGTCGTGGGGAAGAGTTTTCCACTACCCACTGATCAAAAAATTGGAGGTGCCATCTGTTTTTGAAAAAGAAAAAAAAAACAAAAAGAAAAAAAGATTTCACTAACCTAAGTTTATAGTTTTATTATGCTCTGTTTGGTAAGAAGGATTGAAAGTAGGAGGAATATACTTTCTATCATTAAATGATAAAAAATAAGAATGACATATTTTCCTTCCTTTTTGTTTGGTTGGATGGAGGAAAAATAAAATGACTAATTTTTGTTTTAATTTTTTTTGTGCTATCTAAGATTAGAGGTGACAATCGAGTCGTATTGTGTTAGATTCATGTTGAATCATAAAATTATGAGTCTTTTATATTTTTTGTTCGCGTGTCAGGTTATTTTCAAATTCGTGTTGAGTTATAATTAATTTTGTTTCATAAAATTCGTGTCGAGTTCGAGTCGTGTTGAGTCAAAAATTTTTACCCCTAGTTAAGATGAAATTTTTTTTTAATTCCAATTTTTTATTTTTATTTATTTTATTTTTTAAAAATTTATTTTAAATTTATATATATATATATACACATATTTTATCATTTTTTTATATGAAATTAATGTATTCATAATATAGAAACAAATAGGATACATCTCAACATAAATAATTAATTTTTTATCTACTTTCCTTCTGATTTTAGAGGGATTGATTTTGGTGAGTTAGAAGGAAAGTTAAATCATCAACTTTTCTATCCTTCCTATTTTTCTTCCTTACCAAACATGATATTTTATTTATCCCTCTAACTTTCTATCCTTCTAACTTTTCATCCTTCTATTTTTCTATCGTACCAAACGAAGCATTAGGGATAACTCATGTCTAAAGATATGGTAAAAATTTAATATAGATGTTGGTAATCATTGGATGAATTTATTTCAAACCGTTGAATAGACTTATTAAAGTTTTGTAGTTTAAGAAATAATACAAGCGATGTGTAAATTCAGACTTCCTTAGTTTAAATCTTAGTAATTTTTTAGGGTCTAATCATGAAAGATTTATCTTTTATGAATACTCTAATCCCATGTGAATGATTTGTTTTTGATTGAACCAGAAAGATATTAGTGGAGATATGCATAAACTGACTTGAGAGCCACAAAAGAGAAAGCGTAAAAAAAAAAAAAAAAAAA